TGTCCACTAAACTCGAACTCAAATTTCATTGCAAAATGACCTACATATCGGTTACATTTCCACCTAATTGATCATGAGCTTTTCATAGTTTCCACCCGGAAATGTCAACCAATTGCTCAAGACACAGAGCATCATCATAATCACCAAAAACCTAAGAACCAATGACAGAAATGAAACCCCCCAAATCTGATTATCCCTTGGTCGTTGGCCTGTTCTTTTCTCTTCCAACAGTCTTTTCTGCTTGCATAGTTCTCCAACTTCGTACTCCAATTCATTCTTTTCTCTCTCCACCATTTTCAGCTTATCTTCCACTTCTTTCTTATGTTCTTCTATTAACTTTAGGTCCTCTTCCATTGCTCTCATTCTTCTCAGCAACCTAGGAATTAGTTCTTTACCTTTTGCACAGGTCGGTGCGTCCAGCCACTCCCAATGATGCCCATTTTCTCTGTTTCTTTGCAAAGTACGTTGCATAACATCAAAGCTAAACCCATCAAGCAACAAAATAAAATTTCACATATTAACTTACTCGACTCATCTCACAAGCCTCAAATCTTCTCCCAGGATTTAAATCAGTCCATGAAGTCCAAGTTTTGATATATCCACCGCACCTGCATAGCTTCCTCGCACTAGGGCTTGAATTTGTTGATGAAGAAGAAATCTGCGACATTTTTGCGCATCTACCTGATCCTTGGTTTCCCAGATTTCCCTTTAAATGGCTTCCTAGATTTCCTTCCAATTTCCAAAATTTCAACACATCTACTGTTTTTATGTGGCTTTCTTCAAATATAAATGGGAATTGGGGATAGGAGGTTGGACATGCCAGACTTCAAAAGACAAATTTGACGAATCTAAGAGATTCTCACATATGCTTGCCACGTCATCATTTTAAACGGAAAAACCTAATGGACTTGACAGAAGGACTACTGGTGCAACGACACGCACAATTGAGTGACCTCTGCAAATAATAATTGAGTTCAGTGACCCAAATGCAAAACCAGGTATAGTTGAGGGACCATTGCTGCGAAAAACCCCTTAAGAAAATATAAAGACTTTCTGAAATAAATCTGATGAATATTGAATTCTGTTAAATCTATAACTCTGCTGCCATTTATCTGATATTTAACTAAAATTTCCTGTTCCTCTACCCTTAAAGGGTATCTTACTCGGCAGCATATAAATCAAAATATTTAAAAGCTAATATGAATTTATTAGTCACTAATATGTGAATAAAATTTATTCGAGATTAAATAATGTAACTGAATTGCATAAATTCATTTATGAAAACAAAGAGTCCACTCACAGCTGGTCCAAGCTCGCTGGACCTTTTGAAGGTCCCTCCTGCGGGTCAACTGGTGCCCAGGTGCCTGATTCAAATACCATAACAATATATGTTAATAAAACTGCTCGGTATAAATATTTAAATAAAACCCTGACCCCCGGCTCCTAGAAGTGCGTGCATCCAATTAAGGTTATTCCTATGCCCACATTAACGTCCCTTCCTACCTAAGACACAAGTCCCGTGAGTCTGGTCTCGATTGAACGGTTGGATTGGTCACAATCGCATAATCAAGCGGTTTCTAAACCTTTAACCCTAGGGTTTGTGATTTCGGAGTATCTAGGATTCCGATTCATGATCCATCGAACCCTCAACGATGCTGATACTATGCAGATTAACATATCTGAAAATGATTACAATCCAACGGTTCGAAACTATTGAACCCGGATAACGCCTAATGTGCGATATCCGATCGACGATCAAACGGTAACCAAATTGGAATCCGAGCATACCGGCGCGCTTGGGACGACGTGGAGAACATTCTAGGACAAAAACCCAGCCTTGACACCCCGCCGACGTGCCGCCACCGCTGGCGGGTGCATTGAGTAATTTTCCGGCGATTGGAAAACTCCAAACCGCCGGCCAATAACCATACCTACGGATTAAGCACATCAAGGGGAGTAACTTTATACCTTGACTCGACGATCAATTCCACCTCTAAAGCCCTTGAACGAAGCTTTTTGACTCTTGAAAACCTAGAAAATTTTAGTTTCAAAAACAAAGAAATTGGAATGGATTCACGCTGGGTTTTCAAAGGATAACACAAAGGGAAGGTAGGAGAGTACTTTAGGTGCAATTACCTGAGCTGTGGCGGCCGGAGATGGCCGGAATTTGCATCGAGAATCACTGAAAATTCTGGGTTCGAAGCTGCCCCTTTTTGGGCTCAACTTTGGCTCCATTTTCTGGTTGATTCGCTTGGAATCAAGGCTGTACATGGGTATTTATGGAAAGAGGAGAGAAAGGCGAAGAGTTTGCAAGTTGTGGCACTCGATTTGGCGGCCAGACGGAGGAGAAATGGCCGTCTGAAAATGGCTGTTCGAAACCTTCGCGAAGGAGAAGAAAAATCTGGGTTTAAGAAACCTGAACTTCGAAAAATTTATGATTATGCCACTGGATTTCTGTATACCATATCTTCTTCGTTACAACTCTGATTTGAGTCCACTCCATGTCTACGGACTCGTTTCGTCACGCTCTATGTAATGGTGCAAGTGGAATGGTCAAATTCTTTCTCGGTCAAAAGGTCAACTTTTCCTTTACTAAAATATTCTAAGGGCAAAAGTGTCCTTTCCTCTTAATAATTTAATGTTTAAATATTAATTAAGGTTTGAGTTATTACATCATAAATTCCAACTTTAAATTCTATCTAAAAGTCGTTATTTCTAAAATTTTAAGAGAGTGAGTTTAAAAAAAAATAACTTTACAAATAAATGTTAAATTCTGTGTTTTAAATCTATCACCCAAACAAGAAACTTTTTAAATTCTAGAATTTTAATTTCCGTCATTTTAAATTCTGTCATTTATGAAATCCTTTGTACTTTTAGATTTCCTCATCCAAACACACTGTAAAAGATCACAAAGAAAACAAAACACCCATCCATTTATGAACCCTTAGAGCCGTATCTCTCTCTAACCCTAGCAGAGAAACAAAACCCCCCACCTCTTTAGAGTCGCACCTTGTGGGGAAGGTGGTCTGCCCCTTCTCCGCTCCCCACCCCACCCCTCATCTTCCTCCTTCTTCCTCTTTGAAACACACTTCTCTCCTTCTCCTCATTTTCCAATCTGGTGGGATGAAGACCATGAGCATGATTTCCCTTATCACTACCATCTTTACGCTGCAAATCCTGCCCCCTATTGACCCAAAATTCATGGCTCATCTGGATTCCTTCACATCCCCTTTGATCTGGCATCATCCTTTGTTTGTAGCAGCAAATTTTGAATGCATTTTGGCGCGTATTTATTGGAAGGTGTGTAAAGCTCTAGCTCGGGTGCTTGCACCACCTCCTTCCAGGTTCTTGGTTATTTTCCTCTTGGTTGTGGAATGGGTTTTCTCATTCTCTTTCTGTTGGCTGCTATCTTTTGGATGTATTGGTTAGGTTAACTCTGGATCTATTAGTGAATCTCAGGGGGGCTATGTTTTGAGGGATGTTTGGCTTGGTTTGTTGACCTACGAGTGTTCAATTATTCATGGTGGTGATTGGTGGTTTGCCCATCTACAGTCGTGAAATTTCTCTTTTCTGGTTGTGGCAGCTTTGACTTTCTCTTTGGTTGTGGCGGCTAGGTTTCCTGTGTTTTATTTTATGTATTTTATGTTTATGTAGTTTTTAACTCAAGAACATGATCTTCATGCTATACTATACTGGTTTTGGCTAAATTTGTTCATGTTTGTTTTCTGTTAGGTTCCGGTTTACTTATAAGTTTTATTGGGTACGCCTTATATACTATTTTTGGGCAACCCTCTCAACAATTTCTCTCTGCTTCATCATGGCTTCTTCTTCCTTCATCAAGATTGATGGCTTGCTCAGTATGGTTACCATTCATCTCAGTGACAACAATTTTCTTGAAATGGACTCATCAACTCCCCCTAAAAAATCCCCATTTGTTTCCCAATCATACAAATGACGATCCGGATTATCCATATTTTCCTTCATGACTTTGTCCCATTCTAGATGAACCCCTGTCTTCACTCTCACAAAATCAACATCAGGCATTATAAAAATCGATACGCGGTCACCGCCTTCCAAACGGAGCACGTCATTTGACAATTGTCCCTGCCAAAGATAACGGTTTTCAGGTCCGTTTGACAATTGTCTTTGCCAAAGATAACGGTTTTCAGGTCTCCACCAAAACGAACAGTCTTCTGGTCTTCTGTAAGTTCTTAAGGAGGCAAATGCTATATTGGTGTGCAAAGCAGTTCGTTTGGTAAGATTTCTAACGATAATGCAAATAGGAACTTCAACATGTATGAGTTTTCGCCTGTCTGAGTAAACGAAGCATATAGTCAACCCTTTTAAATCACGGCCCATGATTCTTTGAGGAACTTCAAGAAAGACGATATACTCCACATCATTGGCGATTTTGAACCACTCAGGAATATCATAAATTCCATTCAAAAAAATTCCACCAAATCCACAAGAAGTCCATCTCTGCACACCAGAAGCAAAGACATTCTTATACATGCATGCATATATCATTACATGGGCCGCATCTGCAGTTGTGCCTCTGTGTGTTTGAGAGAGAGAGAGAGAGAGAGAGAGAGAGAGAGAGAGACCTGTAGGATGTTGTTCCTAAAATCGGCAGTGAGATTGGTGCAGCCTTCCATATGAATCCTTGTCATGGAGTTTAATGACTTATCCAAGCCCGGAACCTCAGTGAGTTTGAACGAATCACTTAGATACAATTCTCTCATATTCCACATTTTTGAAAAATCTGGGAGTGTTTCCAATTCTGGGCAGTCATTTGCTTTCAGAACATACAAATTGGTTGGTAAATCTGGGATTGCACGTAGTCTTCTGCATGCATTTAAACACAAAACCTTGAGCTTTGAAAGACCAGCGAGACTTGGGATTGCATCCTCAGTTAACCTGCAGCCTGCAAGACATAAATCTATTAAAGAGTTTAAACCATGTAACGGAAGGGGTAAAAGATGGAATTTCAAAATTCTCACCAGATAGAGATAAAATTTTCAAATTCTTCAATTTTAATATGGAAGATGGTATTTGTCTTATGGCTGTGTAATCCGCTTTCAGAGTTGTCAATGATACCATGTCCCCTAAGCCATCAGCCAACTTTTCAAAATGTGAACAACGAATAAGTAGAAGAGTTTCAATAGACTTGGATTTATAGAAATTCAGTGGGAGATCCTTTAGCCTTCTGCAGTCTTTAAGATTTACCAAAGAAAGTCTTCCAAGATCCCCAATGGATGAGTGAACCTCAGACAAACTCTCACAGTATTCCAATATCAATTCCTTGAGATTTGGGAGTTTTGAAAAGTCTGGTGATTTTGTTAGCCTACGGGAATGGCTGAGATTAAGGATTTTCAAATTCTCATGCAACTGTTACACAAAAACAAAATTAGAATGGAAATTAAAATCCAAAAGGAAGGTCTCTGATACAGAAATTAAACCAAAATGAAGCGAAGGTGAAGTATAATATATTTATAGAACCAGAAGGAAAGAACCAACAACAACTAGGTTGAGATTATTATACCTTGCAATCCTTCCAAACTATTTTGAGTTTGCTATGCTGCAGGTCTAAAGCAACTAGTTTCGGTTGCACAGGAAAGTCATCTGGTATGGACTCTTGAGGAAAATAATGCCAGCACAACCATATTAACTTTTTCGGAAAATCTTTGTACTCTCCAGTGAGCTCTACTCTGCTGAGGAGGAGTAACCTCAGTTTTTTCATGTTGGTAAATGCTTGTGCACGGAATCTAGCCAGTTCCCTGTTAGGCCATCGCATATCTAGAGTAACTCCTTCAATTTCGTCAGTTCCCTGTTAACAAAAGATACTGAGTTAGAAAAATGATTTACAAACATGAAAATCCGTGTATGTATTAACCAAAAGGTATAATTAATAGTATTGGACTATGCTACGCCCTATAGTTTGTGTTCGCAATCAAAGCACATATTTTTTGCTGGTTATGCCTAATTGAGCTTTGATCTTAATGGATATAATATAAGAAATGGCAACAGGGTCTAGCAAAGAGAAAAATGGTCTAAACTTGTAGATTTAAGGTCTCAGGTTCAAATTCATATAGCACCTTGTTAGTGTGGATGTGTGAGAACCCCCTCTTTTACTTTGATTTAGCGCTTGTACTAAACAAAAAAAATAAAGAAATGGAAAAGGACATTTTAATTTATTATAGACACGGGATACATATGCTTCTCTTGCATGATGCATTCTAAAACTTTACTTGGAAAGTACTTACAGATTTGTCTCTCAATACATCTGTTACGTCTTCCCGTTTTCTCAATCTACTAAATTTTTCAGGGTGACCGCAGGCATTTTCACAAACGATCTCTCTTCCCATGTCTCGAAGCAAATCATGCATCATCAGCTTGTTTTGCTCACTAACAGTTACAAGGCACCGTTCAATGAGGATAGGGATTCCTAGCGTTGCACAAAAGCCACATCCATCTAATATTTGTGTGACATAGTCCTTGTCCATTCCAATAAAGAAACAAGATATATCAAGGAATGTATTTCTGTCTGTACGGTCAGGTAGCCCGTCAAAGCTTATTCTCAGTATTTTTGTAATTGCTTCCTGAGGACTTCTTTCCAATCTCTCCAATTGGCTTTCCCACTGTGATTCGTCTCTTTTATAAAGAAAAGACCCTAAAACTTTTAGTGCTAGTGGCAAACCTTGACAATAATGAATTACACGTTTTGAGAGGTCAAGATATTCTTGATTAGGACAACCACTTTCAAAGGCATGCCTACTAAAGAGCTCTAGAGCTTCTTCCTCATCCATTCCTTGAGCCATATATGTGCTATCCACTCCAACTTGGTCTAGCAAATGTTGATTTCTTGTTGCTATAACAATTCTACTTCCAGGACCAAACCAATCACGAGCTCCAGCTATTGCTTCTAGTTGGTGTAGATCATCTGCATCGTCAATTATGACAAGTGCTCTTTTACAGCGAAGTCTTTCTTGTATCACAGTGATCCCTACATCAACAGAATCAACCTTCAAAGATACGTTCAAGATATTTTTTAGAAGTTGCTCTTGCAAACCAACCAGACCATTAATGGGTTGGTGTGCAATTACTGCCTTCACGTCTGCAAGGAAACTCCTACCTTCAAAGATACGTTCAACTTTGTTATAAATGGTTTTGGCAAGCATTGTTTTTCCAATGCCGCCCATCCCCAAAATACCAATAATGCGAACAACATCCTTAGAACCTGAATTTTCAATATCAATCATGCGAACAACATTGTTCAGCCGAGAAGTAATTCCAACAGGGTGTTCGATGTCTAATTGGTATTTTCTGTACAACTGCTTATACCCCAAGAATTTTCTTGATAAACTTCGCTTCATGCCTGGCAATTAAACAAAGAAGCAGAACTACGAATCATTCGATGTGGAACAAACTACAAGGTTAAATTGAATCCCAAACTTAATAATTTAGAATTAAGATATAATTGACAATTAAGATTGGGATTTAACATCAAATGTTAAATGGATCTTACATTATCTTAGTTAAAACATAGTTAAAACCAAACCAAACCAAACCAAACAAACAAATACCAAAGTTCAAAGTCAAAAAGAAAGAATGCATAGTTAAAACTTAAAACATAGTTGGGAAAACAAAAACAAAAACAAAAAGGACAGAAAACATATGGTTGTCAAGTAAGGAGATGATAATCCAAGGAACAAGAAATTAGTAATTACCCATTGTCAGCATTTTTAAGATCTTCCCCACACAAATCTGCTGCTTGACTGAGAGCATTTCTCCACCGCTGTACCTTTTCTTTCTCATGTTTACCTTCACAGATGCCCACTTCATGTTTCTCAAATGCCTGCGCAAACCTACCAGTTTGTTTCCGGACATCTGAAGCATCAACATTATAGAACAATGGAATAACCTGTTGCCCCAATCTTTCTCTACACTCCATGATCTTCACCAGCTCGTCAAGACACCAACTGGAATCGGCATACCTCTTGGAGAAGACAATTATGGAGATCATGGACCCGTCGATTGCCTGCTCCAGTTGGGTTTTTATAAATTCCGCTCTTTCTAGCTCGTTGTCGTCAAGAAAGGTGCGGATTCCGGCATCAGATAATGCTTCGTGGAGGTGGCCTGTGAAGCCCTTGCGTGTGTCTTCACCTCTGAAGCTCAAGAACACTTGGTACTTACAACGTTTTGATGAGGATGAAGAGGAGGCATCCATTAATTGATACTGGTTCAGATCAGACCAACTACAAATTATGCACAAGTTGGCCTTCCGATCTGTAAAATTGGTATTTGATATATTTTCTGTATATATTTACAACTCTAATGGTACAAGGATATAAAGAGGAAGCGGTAGGCTACATATGGTAAACTTCTATTAGTCCTAAATTAAAGCAGTTGACTATCTAGACAAGGAAACAAATATTTACAGCTATTTCATATCTTAACACGATCCGACTTGAGCAGAAGAAGTTATTTCATAATTAATTATTTTGTTCTGGGGGAGTGGTTTGGCCTTGAGCAGCAGATGAATATGTTATTGAACGTTTCAACAGAAGCAAAAGTCTCCCACCCTACGTTCCTGCCAACACGTCATTGACGCAGAGAGAGGCAGAGAGAGCGTGGAAGATCAGTGTGAACAGAGGGTAATTTTCTGGAAGCAACCAAAACTACACGATCTGCTGGACGGCTAAGATTGAAGGTCAGGAAAATGCAAGGAAGCTTAGGGGAAAGAGGCATGAAAAGAGAGGGAAGAGACGAGCACAACGTCCAATCAAAAAAGAAAAAAACAGTCTTGTTTGAGTTTGTTTTATAAAATTCCTTTTTATTGATTGTTTGTATAAAAATTGATGATTTCATTTATAAAAAGAACTTATATGAATGACAAAATTAACCTCAATGAAGTATATGCAATCTAATCTCAAAGGTCAACTTTATCAATTGGAGAATTTTTTTGTACATACGTTTTACACACACACACACATATATATATATATATATCTATATTTCTCACCAAAATGAGACTTAGCTAGGTTTATGATTTGATCAATAATTTAATAAATATGGGACAACAATACGTACTCAATAGTTAATGATTGAGAAGCTTCTAAGAACTTTCAATTCTTTCCTTCCTTATTGATTAAAAAATATCCGATAATTATGTTCGTTTTTCAAAAATAACTTAGTTATGTGTTATATGAGAAAAAATGTATACAACTTAGTAATTTTTTTTTAATTAAGTGTAACATCACGTGATATAATCAATTCACTTATATTATAACACGTATATACAGTAACACTTCAAATAATAACATCCCTTAACAGTTTCGTAATACTACTCAATAATTTCTTGTATATTACTGTAGAATTTTCTCTTTTCTTCCATTGTCCATGACAGGTGTTAGAAGTTGACTTGAGCTTATATTGCATAGAAATTTGATGCTAAATGAGAAATTAGCATACCAAGCGCTGGCTTACAACAATAGACAACTTTTATAATTGAGTTATTTACTATAGACATCCCTAAACTTGGCTCTCATTTACAATTGAGTCCCTGATTTTTTTTTTTTGGAGGCAATTATATCCACTAACTCGATAAATAGTTCCAATTGGGTCATGTCATCCAATTCTGTCAATTTGTCCGTTAAAATGAGGATAAAAGCATCCTTTTGAGAATGGATTGAGCAGAACCACAATCCAAAAACAAAATCATATGGAAATTTTTTTCCCAAATATTGATCAAAGAAACGATACACCTAAAACCCATACGAAAATCTTGATCTAATCACAAACACCAACAAAATGCAGTTCACAAATTCATCAGTTTAACAAACAACAAACAAAAGGAGAATTTTTCAAAAGCTTTTGAGACATGAACATCTAAAAAGAACTAGAGCAAAATCGGAGAAATAAAATCACAACGGGGCTGACCATCGTGAGCTCGGTGGTGACTTTTGCTCATATGCGCTTTTGCGTTTTGATCCTCAAGTAATTAAAAAGAGATTATTTTAGTTTCGTTTTTTTTTTTCAAGACAATCCGTGTAATTAAAAAAAGATGAGGCGGTAGATGACATGTGTTATCATGCCATATGACATGTATTAGTATCAATATGTTGGTAAACAAATTAGCCCCATAGCATTATTACACTAAAAAACACATCAGTAGTTTGACTTCATTTTAGGGTTGTGTTTTTTTTTTATCATTAAAAATACTACTCATTGAAGGGGTGGCAGAAATTTTCATCATCTCACTAAAACATTAATTTGAAAAGAAAAATAAAACATATCGAATTTAAGAAATTCATCCCCATAGTCAACAACTCAATAAGGAAATGAACCGTTGAATTCTGTTTAATTGAAGTTGAAATGAGAAGATTTGGGGGAATTGAGAGAAAATGAGGGAAGAAATTTAGAGGATCCAGCTGCTTTCCCAGCACCAATCATTTTCGTGGCCCCAAGAGCGTTGAAATGGTCAAAGGGTAATGAGAAACAGACAAGCTAAGAATTCCTGAGGAGACCAACCCCCCACAAAAAGTAAAAACAAAGGGTTCATTTCTGCATTACAAGAATTCCTGAGACAGGCAATCATCATGTGACAAGTGGCTCCATTGCTTCCATTGAATTTGCACATTTTTTGGCTACAATGCCGCGCCAATGCATGGTTGCATTCAAAGGCGTATACCCTTAGATTTTGAGCAACAAGGAAGGAAATAGGGATCGACAGAGGAGAAGAACAAGGAAAACAAAAACACAAAAACACAAACAAAAAAACGAAAAAAAGAGGAGAAGAGAAGCGAAAAGGCGAAGCTGTCTTTCTTCTCTTCTTTTCTTTTCTTAATATAAAATCTTTCTTTGTTTTCCTCCATCTTAACATCACAAAATAAGTGAAGTTACTATAAATTTTTAATAAGGCGGTCCCTTTTAATTCCAACATTTGCTGCTGCTGGGTGTCAATCATGACTTCGAGCAAGTTTAGAAGAGCCTTGGGGGCAGTGAAGGACCAGACGAGTATAGGCCTAGCTAAAGTTGGTAGCAGCACATCTCTGGCGGACCTAGACGTGGCCATTGTGAAAGCATCGAGGCACGAAGAGTATCCGACAGAGGAGAAATACATACGAGAGATTCTGAGCTTGACATGCTACTCGCGCGCCTACATCAGCGCCTGCGTCAACACCATCTCCAGGCGCCTCAACAAGACCAAGAACTGGATCGTTGCCCTCAAAACCTTAATGTTGGTCCAACGGCTGCTGTCCGAGGGCGACCCGGCTTATGAACAGGAAATATTTTTCTCCACAAGGCGCGGCACTCGCTTCCTCAACATGTCCGATTTTCGGGACGCTTCCACGTCCAATTCGTGGGACTACTCTGCGTTTGTGCGCACGTACGCCTTGTATCTGGATGAACGGCTTGAGTTCCGAATGCAAAGCCGGCGCGGGAAACGTAGCGCCTTCGGAATCGACGAAGAAGAGGATCCTCAGGAGCCGCCCCATAATTATGCTAACCAGCAGTCATGTCCCAGAGCCACGCCTGTGCATGAGATGAAAGCTGAGAAGCTTTTTTCTAGGATGCAGCATGTGCAGCAGCTCCTTGAGCGCTTCTTAGCATGTCGCCCAACAGGTTTCATCCAATCCATTTACCATTTACCATTTACCATATCCATAACGCACGCACCTGCATGCAAACGTTTCATCCATGCATGCATGGCTGCGCTCGTGCATTATCCGTTCAATCAAATCAATGATGTTAAGGTGACAACATCATTTCTATAAGAAAATCATCTGCCACATCATATTATCAATTAAATACATACTTTGTCTAGAAGGAAATACATTATAAGTCAATCTTTGGTACTTGGTACATTGTCGATATTTTGTCAATAGTTTTTTGATATTAGGCAACGTCGATAAAATATTGACAAGACATTAAATATTAGGTACTGTAGATTAGTACTCAATACCAATCAATCACTCTATTCTATAATTACTCTCTTCTTTTCTTGTTTCGGAGAGCATTACTCTTTTCTTTCATGAACAATTAATATCATAATTCATCGTTTCTAACATTTTTGTTGCTTTTATGTGCATCCAAATTGGAACGTACGTACAACAGGTGAAGCAAAGACCAACAGGGTAGTAATAGTGGCGCTGTTCCCAATAGTGAAAGAAAGCTTCCAGATATATTATGACATAACAGAAATAATGGGCGTCTTAATCGATCGCTTCATGGAGCTGGAGATCCACGACTGTGCCAAGGTGTTCGAGATATTCTGCCGCATCGGAAAGCAGTTTGATGAGCTGGACACATTCTACAGCTGGTGCAAAACCATTGGCATTGCTCGCTCCTCAGAGTATCCCGAGGTTGAGAAGATTACACCCAAGAAACTGGAGGTGATGGAGGAGTACATACGCGACAAGTCAGCCTTGGCGCAGGGCAGGAAGTCTGTCAAGGCTCTGCTGGAGCAACAGAAGATTGAGGAGATAGATCAAGAAACTAATCGGGACGACGACGAAGAAGAAGAAGATATGAATGCCATGAGGGCCTTGCCACCACCTGAAAGTTTTGTCGAGGAAAGCAATAACAAGGAAATAGAGCCAGTAAAGGAAGAAGAAACTAAGAAACCGCAACAAGAAGGGGACCTGTTGCACTTGGGAGACGACGCTGTGTCGAGCGAAGAGCATGCTGACAAATTGGCGTTGGCTTTGTTCAATGGCGCTACTGCAGAGGCAAAAACACGCCTTCCAGCATGGGAAGCCTTTGCTGATGAAGCTGATTGGGAGACGGCGTTGGTCCAGTCGTCCAGCCACTTGTCCCATCAGAAGGCTTCCCTCGGAGGCGGCTTTGACGTTTTGTTGTTAGATGGAATGTACCAGCAAGCTGAGATATCAGCGGCGATGGCTGGCCCAGGATCTGGAGTGAGTGGAAGTGCGAGTAGTGTTGCATTGGGGTCAGCAGGACTGCCTGCAATGCTAGCATTGCCTGCACCACCATCATCATCAGATCATCATGAGTCTAGTAAATCAAACGTACACGTGGACCCGTTTGCTGCCTCGTTGGTGGTGCCGCCGCCTTCATACGTGCAAATGTCGGACCTGGAGAAGAAGCAGAAGCTGTTGGTGGAAGAACAGTTCATGTGGCAGCAGTATGCAAGAGATGGGATGCAAGGGCAGCTTGGATTGACAAAGCTACAACATAATCCTCACAACATCAACATGGGAGGTTACACACACACCTACTGACGATGACTTTAACTTAATTAACACATTGGTTGAGTTGTTAATGGTCATTAATTAGGGTTTAACCAACCTCCATGTGAATTTGGACATATTGTTTTTTCCTCTTATTTAGGTGAGGTTCAGTTCGGTAGCATTTTATGCTGGTAGGGCAAGTGAAATATGCAAAGGATTAAGGTAATCCATGTATCATCGAAGTATGAAAAGGGTACTAAATGATCCACATTTATATTTATATGCATATGCATATATAGATGGCCCTCTTGGCAACCATCGTTTTGAAAGCTATCCTTGGAAACTAGAATCATTGTTTTCTGCACTCACATCGGTCCGCAATACACATGTATACAAAACACAAGTACAAGCAGACATCTTAAGGCAACCGGCGAAGGGAGAAACTTGCCAACCACCTGTGTTAACAAATCAGGCAGGTGACATGGAAATCCTGGCCGGACACTTGCAAAGTATTGTGTATGCGAATCAGCATGTTTCTTGCGACCCAAGAATTCACATACGCTTATCTTTGAAGCCCTACCTACGAGTTCCAAACGACGTTGATAGTCCACCTGTAATCATTTCAATATCATCGAAAGTGTTGCTCTTGCTTCTGATCTTACCATCTTGGCGAGCAAAGATCAAGGTCACCAAAATATGTTGACATTATGAATTCCGCATCGGAAATTAAGTAGTCCAACTTGAAGCATTGTGTAATAGTTTAACAAAAACGAAGCTATCTGAGCAAACATTGAGATTCAAACAGACTGGCCCTGTCCTCTTTTAATATCAATATTTCATGAAATTTTAGACCAACATTGAAAACCAAGCAAACCACCAACTGGAACATAAATGAAACAAAATTTGTTGGATGAACACACAATGAGGAAGGTTAATCAGCATAAACATCATTTCGAATTGGGGCCAAGATTTCCAATTTTTGACATGTAATTTCAAATACAAGGGGTTTGAAGGGGTCAGACAATTTGTAAAAGAAACTAATTATGAATACAGATGCTTACAAGGCACGTGTCCCAAAAATAATGCTCCTAGAAATAGAATAACTGATCGTTTAATAAATATTCCCTAATACAGGGGGATGAAACCTCATACTGTAATGAGAGCTGTGGCATATTTAGAAAAAGAAAATCCATATTATGCTATATGTAACTCTGCAGGGCCATTTGCCAAAAATGCCAAATGCAGTTAATTTTTCTGGACATCAAGCATATATTCACTCAAACATTTTTCTTCTTTTCAAGACTAGTTGCAGCAAGCCGTTGGCGCTTCTTCCAGGCTGGGACTTTACCTGGGAAAGCCCACCGTAAAAGCTTCTCCCATGAGTAGCAGGTCAAAAACATGAGAAGGGCCCATAGCAGTAGCTTATCCCTCAGTCCCACTGGCAAGGGCACCAGCCTAAGCCAGTCATTCAAGTCCCTGAATAGATCAGATGTGATGACTGTGAAGAAACCAGCAGCAGCTACGATGGCATACAAGAATGGCTTGTTTTCGGAGATGCTCTGATTGAAGGGATGCCCCATGTAGTTCACAGCAAAGGTGGCCACCTGGAGCATCATGCTGACCATGTATGAAACTGTGTTAACAAGATTCGGATGAAAATCAGAGTCCGGTTCGATGCACTCATCAGGCATGTATCTCTCAGCCTCGTTCACAGAAGAAATCAAGAAAAACAAGTGGATTGTGAACTGCCCTAACAGAGAAAGAAACACATAGGAGCAAAAGACATGTGGATGCGGCCTCTCAGCTGAAAGGGTTGGAAGAGGGCGCGCATGTGAGATAAATAGGAAAAAGGCAGCTGTAAATACACCACTGATTGTAGCCTGCACATCGCCCAACTTGACACCATCCAAATACATAACACTCAACACATATGCCGTGGCGAGACAGTTAAGGCCTAGTATTTTAAACATCTGGAGGGTAGTCACCAGAGTACTGCGACCTTGACGAATTATGTCAGTGGTGGGAGCAACGGATGCATGCTTTGCTGTGAATGGTGATGCCATTGAGGCATCTCCAAGCCTTACAACTGGAGCTGAGCGACCATCCCCCTCTTCATTCAGCTCATCCATCAATTTCTTTTGTAATGAGACTAGCTTCTGCCGTTTCAACTCGGCAGCTGACACATTCTGGTTACCAGCTGAGTGGCTAGCGGTTGTGATGGCCTTTCCTTTTGAAGAGACTTCTCCATTTATACCAGTAGATTTACCCGCAGCATCCAATGCAGGCTTGGGCTTCTTTGTCCGCGTAGTCTTTCCTCTCTCGTCTTTAGATGTTTCATTGGGTGACTTTCCACTCAGAGTTGGAGGCACTGCATTCAATAGAGCAACTCCCACATGGGCCTGACAGGGGAGAAACATATATCAAAAGAATTTAATTTTGGAAAAATCGTACACGCAATGCTTACTTCACTTTCTTATATTAAATGCATGAAAAGAGAATAAAATATCCAAATTGAAAGTATCTCAAAATTTATTAGGGTAAAAAGTGAGACACCTTATCTGAAATCTGCAGAACCTATAGGTGTGAGTGTAAATGTGTGTGGTGCACAATGGGAGTGAGAAAAGTTGCCACACAGAATTTTAAATTATAATTCTTTAATTTAAAGCCTTAATAACTGACTTTAAACTTGATGACAGATCTACAGCAGCGGAGTTGATACAAAGGATAACCCTCAAGGGGACTAAATGGTTTAGAACTGTTGGATTAGAGCTATCACTACTAATAGCCATTATGACAAACGCCGGTTTCTAATACTTATACTGAGGAACTATTATTTAACACGGGTTGTCTGATGACAAAAGAAAAAACAACTCAACCAATAATTGAATATCTTCACAAAACAAATTACCTGCTTCAAAGCTCCAACATCATTGGTTCCATCCCCACACATCAATGTTATCCTCCCCACTGTTTTGAAAGTGGTCAAGATCAGTTCCTTCTGCTCAGGAGCAACCCTAGCATAAACCTAAGAAGATGACTCAGGTCAGCAATGACAAGATAAAGCCTCTATCAAAGACAAGTTTCACAATCAACAGTTTTGAATAAGCACCTTAACATATGGAATGACTTGTATAACAGCAGAGGTTTGTTGCAACATTTCAAAGCAGTCACCTCCAATACAAAGATCATGACTCTCTGATAAAGCTTCCACCTCGTTTTCACTGAAATCAATTTCATAAGGTCCAGTCAGAACAAAGAAGGAAGACGAAATACGCAGGTGAATTAGCAAATAGACAGACCAACAAGGAAAAGCAATGACAAGACAAAAATGAAAACCAAAAAGGAGAGCAACATCCATGTCCAGAACAAGTAGTAGGTCTCCAGCCAAGAAAAACATCAGAAGTTTAATACCAAATTGAAAATAGTCAATCCAGTAACAAGAAAAACTTTACCTGTAAGGAATCACCTCAGCTTCATCAGGGGATATCCACTCATATCCTTCACTGTCCCTTTTTGGACCAAGAATTAATGCTGGTTTTGATATAATATGAACTTGGCTGGCAACATGGCAAGCCGTCAAAGCCTGGTCACCAGTAATCATCACCTGCCAAAAGAAAAACTTCAGATAAGCATCTAGACTTTATTTTTAAATCCGCCCATGCGGCACCAAAGTTCATTACGAGAACAAATTTACATCAGAAAGGACGACCGAACACCAGAGACATGGAACAGAAAACCAAAAAGAACTGGAGGAAAAAACACATAGAAACAACACTAAGCTGTGAAACAGTACAACCCAAACACAAGGAGTTGGTCGAATATTCTTAACACTATATGCATGCATGGCTCGATATAATAAAACTAAAGAGCATACTGGGAAGACTCATAAATGATTCTAGGCCCTTAATTTCACTGTTTCTGTCAGAGTTAAACAGTAAAACATGGTTTGAATTTATCAACTGAAAGAATTTAAGAACAGCTACACCAAAATCAAACTTAAAATTCCATACTGCTGATAATTCAACAAATCAAATCTCGTAACTCTGCAATATCTCTTCATTGGAATACTTCCTAGAAATGTAATAATAATATCAAACATGAATCTTACAGATTCTTTATCTTTATTTCCAAAAATAACTATCAAATAATGGAAATGACTTCTACACTTCACTAAATGACTTCAAACTCATCAAAGATTTACCTTTAAATCTTTTTCTTTTTTCTTTTTTGGTTCTAGAACTTACACTTTTCAAGCTATGGCAGTTATGGACAAGATACAAGTTACTATTCCTTTATATAAAATATAGATAGATTATGTACTAGTTAGTTAGGGGAGTCTGAAAGTATAGCATGCCCACATACCAAGTCATGCGAGGATCCTTTTAGCTCAGACAAAATAGCCGCTGAATCTGCCCTAATTGGACAGTTAAAAACCTGAAATTCAAATTATGAGAATTTAGTGACAACAAGTAACACAAACTTACTCCAGACACTTATCTAATCATCTACAACGGATTTTAAAAAAAAGGACGAAAAACAAATACATAATCTAACATAATGTCAAAACTAGTAACTTCATGTGGACAAGGAATTCAATAAACTTGCATTAATAGAAAAAAATGTCATTTACCGCGAAACCAGCAAAGGTAAGCCCAGTCTCCACTACATCCCTATCCAAGCTTCTGGCTTCACTAACCTTCATGCAATAAACATATAATAAAAAGCACTTCAATATACACTTTAGAAAACAAAGCCTACAATATTTCCTCTCACAGGGGTTAAAGTACATGATTCTCAGCCCAAAATAAACTCAGATAAACCGAAATTTTTTTGAGTAAAAGAAGGTCCATTGCAGTTGATTTCACTTATCCGTAATACTATAAAGATGTACTTAACAATGATGTAAAATAGAAAAATAAAGAACTGTGCTTTATTTAATTCATGCTGTTTGACTTGGCATCTTCATGCATGTCAAACTTCATAAGCAATTCAATATTTGTAACCATTCTATCAATAAGGTCAAATATCTAGAGTAAAAAACATGTACAAGAAAAATACTTAGCCTTGGGATAGACTGAATATGATAAGCAAAATGAGGTTTGCTTAAAATTTAACATGACATTATGAGGCAGACCAAAGCATTAAATCCACAAGTTTGATTGGGCAAAAGAAGAAAACAATAAATAAATAAAGAGTGGCGTACAGACTAACTAGTTATTACTAATAGCTTCAAACTCTAAGCTTTCTGGAGAAAAAATAAATCTGAAGAACTTACTGTCATGTCCGGAAGGGATTTGTAGGCAAGGGCCAGAACGCGAGACCCTTGTCGTGTAAATCTCTTGTAAGTCTCAACATAAAATGATGGTACCTCAGTTAGTCTACCCTGAATAGTTTCAGGGGCACCCTGCAGAGAAAAGACAAAACCATTGCTTAATGACTACCAAACTGGAGATTACTATGGCAAAGAAGTAAGACATTTATGTCGGCTTCCTTTTAGACATGAGGTAAAATATAGCGATCGGAGCTTCTAGATTGTGTTACTTTAAATAGGAAACAGAACATCTTAAATGACAACAAAAGGGAACAATACAAAATGGTGAAGCAGAGGATAACCTAAAAGAGACTTGAGCAAAACAAGACCAGAAAATACATATCAAACAGACAGCCAAACATAGCAGGATACCAAGCCCAAAGGCCAAAACCACCAAAGCAGCCCAATAAACTGCATTCCGAGTTCACATTCAACACAAAAGGACAGTCAGTAAACTCATTAGAAATTAAGGCTCCCAAATCCATCCCACA